GCTATCATGGTCGGAACAGCTTTTTTCCAACAACACGTTACATTCGTTAACTGTACGCAACACGTGACCAAAACTGAATGAGAGAAGGACCGGTTCTAAAGCGCACAACTGTGAAGGTTCATATTAATTCTATTAATATAAATCGATTGAGCACTCTATTGAAAAGGGCTCCATGAAAGGACGATGTTATCCATTATAGGAGGAATCAGCGGAAAAAAGGAAAACGGCTGCAGCTCCACAGTCAGAAATGTATCACCGTTTTTCAATTACAGACAAGGCCGGCTCAGCAATTGACAGCTTTGACACAGGGACAGCCTCAGTTACGTTGCCCGGATCATCTCCGATAGCACGCCAGTCAAAAACATCTTCCTTGGTCGGTTATTCAGTACACGCGGATCTATGACCCCAATCTCAGCGCGTCATACTGTTGGGGGAGTTATCCCAGCGAGGGGGGGACGGAGGGTCGGTACAAGAAAAGGAAATTGTAGAAGAGAGAGAGCTCGTGTTCTGCAAAAATTAACTCCAACGGCAGGACGTGTCCTCATTGTGAGGTAGAATTATGGGGAATATGGCTTGAGCCTACACAGAGAGGCTTCCGAGCTAGGTTGTGAGGGACACGCGGCTTGTCTAATTCGAGCCTTCCAAGGCTCGAGCTTAGGAGAGTGCAGAAGACCAGAGCTGCTTGCGATCTCGTCTTAGCGGGCAGAGTAATGGACATTGCCGCGCCACCTTGTGGCTCTTCTCAACTAGTATAGCAGCTCGAGTAACGTTATGCTGTGGCCCAAGTCCTTTTGAGGAATAACTGCGGTTCTGAATAGCCTGAGCACTCTTAACAAAAAAAACTCTACCATAGTGGAAGAGTGCCTCGACTTGCCCAAAAAAAATTGACAGCCTAATTTCAATATTAGGTTGTTCACTTTTCCGTGGTTTACCTTATACGTATACAAATAGTTTTGCGATTTTGATCGAAAAAGGAATACATGGCGCGTCTCGAACGGTTTGTTTCACACTGCGAGCAATTTATGGTCTCATATTGCCCTCATCAACTAACTTCCATTCCCTTCCGCTTTCCATGGAAATAAAAAAATTCTGAGAAATATTTCTATCACCAAACATAAAAGAAATGTCAGAGAGTTTTGCCAGTGGGAACCACAGTGATGGGCTCTGTCTTCCATCACATGCCGAGAAAAAACTATTCAACAACCGAATCGCTCATCAAGCATTCCTAGGAATATTTTGTACAGAAGCACGTACACCCGCTCATGAATCGTCTGAAACTATGCCTGTTCAAGAAAAACAATACCCAGGACGAGATACTTCTAGGCATTTCATCACATTTCCCTGGACAGAATACACCGCTAATGGCTTGGGATGGGCACATTGCACTTTCGTTAGCTCCCTTCTGCCAGTACTGTCGAATTACACGTCTCATCTTGATCGGGTCTATACACTCCGGGACGCGTAGAATGCCCCCACCAAGCCGATCTGCGTCCAGCATGCTGGGCCTCGAACCCTCCAAAATGGTCACAAAACAGAGTGAATAGCAGAGAGAAAATTTGGGCGCTATTTATACAACGAAAGCAACAACTTCTGGGACTGATCGTGCAAGAAAACCTTCTACGGTTTACAACAGTTATAAAAGATAGAAAAAGAAAAAGCGTTATTGCAAACCGGTTAACGACGGCCTGCAGACCGCAACAGTCACGTAATGTAATCCAATATTGTCGGCTATTTTATCGACCGCAACGACCGACGCAGACACGAAGATAATACCAGATCGTCAAGATGGAAGAAAGAATTACATCACGAACAGCCTAATGTAAAATCACATGTCATAGACTTTCCGACACTCAGATGAGACACATTTTATCTTATTGATAAAAGAAATATCAGAGATGTTTGCCAGTGGGAACCACAGTGATGGGCTCTGTCTTCCATCACATGCCGAGAAAAACTATTCAACAACCGAATCGCTCATCAAGCATTCCTAGGAATATTTTGTAGAGAAGCACGTACACCCGCTCATGAATCGTCTGAACTATGCCTGTTCAAGAAAAACAATACCCAGGACGAGATACTTCTAGGCATTTCATCACATTTCCCTGGACAGAATACACCGCTAATGGCTTGGGATGGGCACATTGCACTTTCGTTAGCTCCCTTCTGCCAGTACTGTCGAATTACACGTCTCATCTTGATCGGGTCTATACACTCCGGGACGCGTAGAATGCCCCCACCAAGCCGATCTGCGTCCAGTATGCTGGGCCTCGAACCTTCCAAAACGGTCACAATAACAGGGTGAGTAGCAGAGAGAAAATTTGGCGCTATGACAACGAAGCAACAATTTCTGGTGACTGAGGTGCAGAAAAGTCTACGGTTTACAACAGTTATTAAAGATAGAAAAAGAAAAAGCGTTATTGCCAACCGGTTAACGACGGCCTGCAGACCGCAACAGTCACGTAATGTAATCCATATTGTGCTTTTTTCCGTCAACGAGAGAATACGATGTCGATGGAGAGTCATCTGAAACGTAATGTAAATCACATGGAACTGTTCCGTCACTCTATGGACACATTTCGTGTTTCACGAAGAAGTGACAAATATGAAGCCAGGATTTCCTAGTCTCAAAGTTCTTGATTTCGCACGTTCGGCTTATAGGCGAACTAGGGCCGCAGGTGGAATTCAAGACAGCTCCCGCGTTTAAAGGCAGTTGGCACGATAAATCCCCCAAGACGACTAGGATCAATACTCCTGGCAGGATAGAATTCCGCGACCCTGGGCATAGCGGTTTCCCCGAGGAAGGTGCCCTTATAAGGGCCCTATCAAGCCACAACTTTACGTCCCAAACGCCCGCCACGCCCGCCCGCCCACAAATGGACGACCGTTCCTGACGCTCGTATTCATTCATTTGCTAAGCAAATTATAAGCGAAGGGATTGGTATGAAGCGGCCGTGATGCTGCATGCATACATGGGTACACATATGCAGCCGTATCTTCGGTAGCGGTGATTGGTAAGATGCCTACGGGAAACTCGTCCGAAATCGATTTTCAAGTCACTGAGAACGGAGGCTTTTTCTTCGCAGGATTTTG